AAACCAAAACAAAAACAAACTAGAAAAATAGTTGTTTCAAATGCATTTCTACTCTAAGAAAGAAGCATCTGCTGCCCGGAAAAGATAAGAGGGCATTATGGAGTTTTTCCCATCTTTCATACKAACATATGAAAAAAATAAGAGCAAATATATTTTCTGAAAAGCCATACCAGTCTTCCTTCTGGGCTGTTGCAGAGGTCCTAGCTGTTGGCTAACAGCATCTTTTGGCAAAGACAATACAGCAGCGTGGAGGGGCAAAAGCACAGCAATAACCTATAGGAAGAAAGCAAAAAAGTTTTTCACAGATTCTGAGATTACATGCCTATCAGTTATTCTAAGTACACAGTAAAGGTTACTGCACTAGGGATTCATATATTTATCAGTTAATCTGTCCCAAAGCCATGGAAGGTAATTAATGAAAAAGATAGTCAGGCATGGCTTCAGGCTGTAATTCAATATTACCCTAAATCTCTGCATGAGCAAACCTGTGAACCAAAGAGGAAATGCATACTGTACAAGGACACTTGTGTTCTGAAATGTGATCCCCCGTGGAGTTTTCAGATGAAGCACTTTTCCAGTGATTAACTCAGTACATTTGAATTTCATTATTTAATGTTTTAGGTGACTGGTTATTTGTAGTGCACTGAGAGGAAAACAAGTTTTCCATGAATAAAATCAGAGTAAAAGGCAGATAACAACTAAGCCATCTCAGGTCATTCAAATCCCCATTGCTCCTTGTTGAGCTAGTAGGACATTCAGTGTGTGCTCTTATGCTTGGGTGTTTTTTTTAATAATTATGCCACATTTTTCTTACATGCTGGTGGCAAAAGATCCATGCTAAGATACACAGAATTTATTTTCCATACTGGTAGACCCTCTCCCACAGGGTTCATCAAGAATTAGCAGAGAGAAGCCATTTGGGCTTTTCAGAATTTTTCAGCCTGTGCTGAAAATGCCCCAGTTACCCCATCTTTTACAGCAGCACTGCAACCTTCTGCTCCAGGGCCCTGCATGCTGAGTACAGCCATGCAATCGAGCTCTCATCAGTTTTATAAAAGATGGGAGCCCTCAAAGCTGCCTCACAGGTCAGGCAAGGAATATGGTTGGCACGTACCTCTCCCTCCAGGACTTGGAGACAGGCATAGCATTATTTATCCCTCTGCCCATTTACTACTAAGAAAGAATCAACTAAAATAATCCAAGGTGTTCATGAAATTAAAAGATCCCTGCAGAGAAATCCACCGGATGTGTACATTCTTTGCCAACAAAATGATTTGTTCTGCCATGCTTCTCAGGAAACAAAATGCCAAATGTTGGATAATGAGACTGGAAACCCAGCAAATRAATTCTGATAAGGGTTAGATTAAGAATGAAATCAAATTTCAGAGCTTTGAAATGATCCATTTACTGCACCATAACTCTCCCTGCTAAACTCATTGGGCCCTAGATTTTGTGGGATACACTCCATCACAAAGTGGTATTTTAAGCCTGTTTATGTTCTTTTAGTTCAAGAGCGTTTTCATGGGCTGCCTTTCTCTTTTAGAGATCAAAGACAGAATTCAGTCTGCACTGACAAACTCAATTCTGGATTACATATGGATATGAAATGGTGTTTCTGTACCATGAAACTGTTTCAGCCTTCAAAATAAAATCTTTTCCTGTTCCCTGTTGGGATGAAAAACAAGGCTTTTAAAAGTTTTATGCAAAAAAAAMCCCCAAAACTCAGGGGARATTGATGCAGTTGCAGTTAAAAACCTGGTGGTCAGCACTCTCATCTGTCTGATTTAGACTAAAGATTTGACTAAATTTCCACAGCTGAGAGAACACTGGTGAATAAAGGACTTCTGAAATCTCTATCAGCAGAAATTCTGCCCTGAAACAGAAAAGTCATGCTAGAAGTTCAATCAAAATCAAAATCATCACATTTGTATAAAAATTGTAATGAAGGGAAAATTCAATCAGGTGGTTTCAGTTTTCATCATTTCCCTCACCAGAAGCAAAACAGRCATTCACCACAAATGGTGAGACACTTGAAAACAACACAGAGGAAATCCCCCTCAAACCCAGAAAGGCAGCAGCCACACCCATTTCTACCTCTACTTCTGGCATTCTGACCTTCCTAGATTAATATATTAAAAGGTAGAAATGGTTAAMTTTTCAAATGTTATATATAAAGAATTTCAGATTTTGGGYGTGAATATTTCAAAGTATTATCAACTTAGYCAAAGGTTTTCAAAGTCTGGTACTYAATATACTTTATGCACAAACAAACACACCAAAAAATACAGCTTTCTGACCTTAACTCCCCAGAAGATCAGGACCAGAKGAGCACCTCTGCCCTCCATGCAGCCCCAACAGAAAGCCTCTAGCTGAGGTTGAGGCTGGTTTTGCCACCCTGCAGGAATGCAGAACAGCAGAGGTGCCTTTGCAGGATGCTGGTACCCAAGGAGAGGAAGGTGAGGCACCTCTTGACAGCAAGGCCTTTTCAAGAGTCACATCTGTGTTTAACACCTTGGTGCACAGCGAAATGTTTGTATTCTGCACTGTCTGGAAACACTGAGCAGAACCTTTTTCTTAATGTGCAATCCATGACCAATATCACTCTGTATCATTCAAATCCTAAATAGAATCGGTAATAATTTAAACAGAAAATTCATTAAAAGTACTGCTACAATTTTAATAAAGGTATTGTTTTTTAATAAAAAAAAGCTAAATGTCAGAGTGTGACTATTGTGATGACTGTACAGTTTCCACATTATAAATAAAATACATGTGTTTTTGAACAAAGACTAGAGCATGTTTCACATATTTCTTCAGTTGTTGCTTAACATATCTGGAATATATTAAGAAGTCATATTCAGCTGTAACTCAAGCAATGCCCACATGCCATGAAATACACACTCTTTGTGCAGAGGACTAGCATGCACYCAGTATCAATATTTCAAAGGGAAACAATTGCAGTGTGAGTGACGCAGAAACCAGCACAGACACACCAAATTGAGTTTGACTCCTACATTAGGTGAGAATTCCTCTTCAAAATTCAACTTTCTTTGCTGAGCTCTCATCCCAAATATTCCTCTTAAAGAGTAAGRTTTGCTACCAGCACAACTTTCTTTCTCTATTCTGTTATGACAGCTTTACTCAACCTGAGGTTAATGATGCAAAAMTGGAATGACCAAATTTCAGTAAAATAATGACAGTAAGCTTCCCTTGTTCACAGGCTCTTCATTCATACCCTTCCAAGTCAATGACAAAGATTCCATTGATTTTGGCAGTGACAAACCCCTACCCATATGAAGCACAGGTTCTGACCCCATCTTTAGAATGCATATATATTCTTGGARTTATGTATTTCTCCATAAAACTTTGGAAAACAGGCTGCATCAAACCACAGAAAAACGTCTGTATTTATGTCTCTGGGGAAATCACTCAGATGCACAGAGAAACACAAAGACTGAAGGGATTTGCTTATTTGCTTTTGGAGATGTTTATCCTCAAGCTCAATTTGCAAACAAATCACAAATCTAAAAGGCAGTGAGATAGCAATGTGATTAATCATATCTTGTTTATCTTTAGTGCATCCTGGGAACACAGATCAGCAACATATTCCTCTTTGGGCTTCATTCAGCCTCCTCTGCAAAACAACAAAAGAAGCCAATGACTGCAGTGGTGAGTTGAAATCAGACATATGATTTCCAAGCTAMGAAGTCAGGGCTTTGGTTAGGGTTTGTTTCCTGCATATTTATTTGTACTAAAATAAGATCCCGCTTTTACTATATTTAAGCTAAGTATATCTTCAGTGTTCAGTCCTGGGAGACTATTTTTTCTTGATCAGGATAATCCACTTACTTACAAATAAGATGTAGTAGACAATAATTCTTTGAAGAAAGACTAAAACTACTGCAGTCTTTGGAAGTCTGGCATAAACATTTATTTGTTTTTTTTTTTTTGGGGGGGGGTTTCAAAAGTTTTATTGCTTCCKTGTTATTTAAATGCAAGACTCTTTAAAAAAGAGAACAAATATTAAAGTGCTTTTGTAATAACTGCAAACTTTTAACATTAAGTTGGCAGAAACAATCCATTTTTAATAAGTCTGTCTTGGTAACCTTGCATTTTGACCCAAGGTGAAAGGTGAAGATTAAATCTCTTCCACCTTTCTGAATGCAGCTGCTGTGCACACAGACTTTAATTGATGTGAGCCTCAGCTTTGTAACTCAAGCCCATCTCCCGCCTGCAGCACTGAAAACGTGCGATTCARGGCTCAGTTACTGCTGATAGCAGGGCCCTCTCAGCTGACGGTGTGGACAGGAGAATAAAGTCTTTGTCACTATCTGTTCTCCATCAGGGTGACTTTTTTCTTCTTCATAACTCCAGTATTCATGTCAGGCCTATAAAGGTGGCCTCTCAGCAAGCAATGCTATGAAGTAAAGCAAACTGAAAAACGAGACAAACAACTGCTGGGTGAGCCAAGGGGTGGTGCTGAGCAGAGACCCACCTGGCATGCACTGGGCAACGTGTCTGCGAGTTTTGGTGGGGACAAGGCTTTGGACAAATATAATTCCTTTTACTTTCAATTCTCTTTTGCTCCTGAGTGAGTGCAAAGATCTCCCAAACCTGAATTCCTTCTTTTTCTCTCTAAGTACAAATATCTGTACATTAGGAATGAAGTTGCTGGCCTGGGAATCACAATAGCTCCAGAGAAGTAATTTTTTAGGATTTTTAACCATAGTCTTGATTGCTTGAATGACATCAGTACTCTGAGTGCTGGCCTAGAAACATCTCTCTGAAATCAGGGACCAAATCGAGACACAATAATAGCAACTGACAAAACAGGTAAGGTTACTTGAGCCTTTTCTAAACTTAAACCACATCTACTGATATGCAAGAGTACCTAAAGCAATGGGAGCTGATCAAAACCATTTTAAAAGTTTAACTKGAATTTGAATAAACAAGTTAAGACCTGCTGAACTGTGCTGTGCAGTCCTCTCAGAGGCTTAAGACGTTGCCCTATGTGAGGGTCTCGTCCCAAAGCAGCATACCTAACATAACCAAACACATTCACTGAGTTTAGATAGAGGACCAGTATGTCATACACACATTGGACTTACTACTTCAAAAGCAAAAGAAAATTATTTTTTGATGCGTACAGGCAAAGTTGAAATTTCTACAGAAATATTTCTGCAACACCRCATTAAACTTTTATATAGGAGACTTTAAACTTAACTTGTATTATATATGCATGATATAAACAATCTGCATGGTTTGCACTTGAA